AGAGCTGAGATTCAAATCCAAGTCTCTGTCTATGCTCATCCTGCTATTACGTGAGATTGCTGAGTTGTGCTTGTTTCACCAAATGTTCCTCTATGCATTTGTAGGTCCCACTGAGACATTCTGCATTCTCTGCCCTCTTTTCTGTATCAGATGATGTCTACCAACCAATTGCCCGACGCTTCCTCTAGGGCTTTCATCATGTTCCTGCTATGTGAACCAAGGGGTTCCATAGGACTTTTGAATTAATGGATGAGATTCATTTTGGAACTTACAGAATTTGAGCCCTTTAGAAGATTTTGTTCTTGCCCTGGTACATTGTAGCTAACATGCCATATTAAGTCCCAATATCACTAAATTGATTTTTAACAATTATATGGTCATGTATCTTTCTTATTAAACATATCTCTTCTGATAATAACTATATATCATTATAATCTTCTTCAGCAGGTATTTATTGAGCATCTGCTATGTGTCAGGCACCATATTAACACTGGGATATGTAATGATCAAAACAGACATGGTTAACAATAAGACATTATAACCCAGAGTGTGATATGTGTAGCATCTAAGATGATTTCAGGTTATATACATGGATGAATATTTTTAATAGTTAGGTAATTATCATAATGTATATTATAATAAATACAATAGTCACCAAGCTTATGATTTCAGGTATTATTGCCTAGGACCCTTTAAAATAGATAGTCCTAGGGTAAGCCACCTTAACTGGATCATATGAATTATAGGTACGTGTTTCAGTTAACACATGGGAAATGACAAAAATAGTGAAGGTGGCACCAAATTATCTATGCTACCTCAACAGTGATATAGCAGAGACACAGATTTCTCATTGACGATCACATTTTTCATCATGGTTTATTATAAACATACCAATTAATATCTTGTAGTCACAGAATTGAATACTTATATGTAAGAGGTAGCAGTTATGGGGGAGATACCACTGCACTGGGGTGCAGGAGACTCAAAGCTCAAGTCCTGGTTTGCCCCTGAAATCTAGCAGCATGACTCTGGAAGAGCCTTGTCTCTTTGAACTTTCACCCCATCTTCCAGCTCCTGGGCTCCCTAATGCACCCTCTCCCTACTTCACGTGAAAATGAGAGGATGTGCTTGTGAATTCTTTGCAAATAGTAAAAGCACTGGTACAAATATAAGGCATCAGTGACGTACTTGTCTAAATGTTTAAGCCTATGTGTTATTTGCCATTGTGATTAATGGGAAAAGGTTAATGTATATGTTTTCTTTAATCTTAGCTTCCAGTCTGTTGTGTGTATTTTTGTTCGTCACAGGCTGAAGAAAAAAAAGTTTCCGAGAAGACTCTTCAGAACCCTCTCTTGCCTTCCCCTGTGGCCGATCACGTGAAGTGTAACATTTTGAAAGCCCAGTTGGAGAATGCTTCTCGAGTGAGTGCCCAGGTGTATGGATCCCACATACATTCCTTCGATTTCACATCACAGGACTTCGCTCATGCCATGTAGAAAAAAAAGGAGCACTCTAGGACCGAGATGCTGTTTCAGTCAGGGTCCAGTTGGGAGACAGGAACCATACCTGTTCTGTGAACAGGAATTTCAATCTAAAGAGTTATTAACTGGTGTGCAGGTATTAATTGGGTAAGTGAAAGTGACAGCTCTATGCCTCGTGGTGGGTATGAGGGCTGCAGACAGCTGCATCTCCCATTGCCTTCCAGCGTGCATTCGGCTGGCATGGCTGGCTGCGTGGGTGTCCCTGCCTTCCCTACCATTCTTTGTGGGACCCACCGAAGGGAGGAGGACAAGGCTTCTATCAAAATCATTTGATGCAGTTCCTCCCAGGATTGTTACACTGACGTGAAAGGACAGATTCTGAAATCCTTTATAAGCTGTTAAGTGTTATGTGAGCACAGAGCTGATTGTTATTCCTGATCTAAAATGTGAGGTGGGGGATTAAACTGTGGGTTTGGCTTTTCCCACACCATCCTCTTCTCTTTCAGGCATGAGCTGGCACATAGCAGGTGCTCAGTAAAAGTGAGAAGGCAAGCATTGATTGCTTTTTGAATGATTAAGTACCCCACAATGGGGAATGACTCAAGGAAAACATTTTCTTGTTAACTTACATAAACATCAGAGAATATTTATTATTGACTGAGTACTTGATGAACTACCTCCTTGATCCACCTTCACATTTCTATAGGACTATATTTCTATAGTCCTTTGAATGTAGGAGGATGGAAAACAGTTTTGCATGCCAAGATATTAATTTTGACTAACCTGCCTTTTTTCTTTCACAGATTGGAAAAGAGGAATCAGCGTTTGTAAATATCAATAAGAAATCCAGTCTTCAGGACACTAATGTAAGGTCTGTTGCTTCTTGTTTGAATGGGGAAACAATACTCTCTGTAGCATCGACATTATCTTCGGAACATTACTCATGAGGGCATTTGCTGAGAAAATCAAAGAGGAAGAAGAAAACAGAATGGGAGCTTGGAGAGAGAGAAAAAGCCTGGCTTAAACAACTTCCTTTCAGCCTCAAAAAAGCTGCTTATACTCAGTTTTAATGTTGCTACCTGCTGTACTAACGCAAACATCACTTTGAGTTGTTTCTCAAGTGTGTAGATCTGACCTTGTCATTCCCCTGCTTAAAGTCCTTTAAAACCACCACTTCGCTCGCAGGGTGGAGTCCAGACTCCTTCACAGAGCACGGGGGTCTCTTTTTGACCTGGGTTCGCTCCCTGCCCCAGCTCAGTTGTTCACACTCTTCCCTTGGTCCGTTGATGTGCTCCCCAAACTGAGCTCCCTAGGTGTTCTTTAAAGCTCCCAGGCCACCACCAACCCAAACCCAGAGGAAAACCTTTCTCTCCTGATCCCATAGAGAGCAGAAACTCCTCTCTTCTCAGCCCAAGTGAGAGGCAATCTGTAGGTCATGGCAGCCCCACTGACACCTTGGCGGGTGGTCTACTAACACTGGCAGAGTCTCCCTTCGATAGAGTTTCCTAAAATAGGTCTACGCATCACTGTACCGGTTTCTTGTTAAAAACAAAGACTCTTGGGTCCTACTCCAAACCTTTCAGATCCTTTGGGTCGGGGGAAGTGGTGGGGACAGGAAGCAGTGTTTCAGTAAGCACACGAGATGATCTAGGAACTACTGCCCTGGGGAATTCTTATACTTGATGCTAAAAATAAAAACAAATATTTCTCTATGTCTTCTTATAATGCCCAGTTCATATTCTTGGTATAAATTTGTCTTACTCTGCAGATACATACCCAGCTGCCTCCTGGACTTTTCAAAACTTTAAGTCATCTCTTCCCACCCTATCCTACTATCTCTTCGCCAATTTTCTCATCTTGATTAATAGCATTATTAACCTACCCATTATCCAGACCTGACACCTGGGAGTCCTCACCCCCTCATCCAGTTGGTCACCAAGTCCTGCCAACTTGACTTTCATATTATCTCCCACATCCATCTTCTCCTCTTCATGACCCTAATCACAGCCTGCCTCGAGCCCTCACCATTTCTCTCCCTGGATAACTGCCACTATAGTCTTCTAAGATGCTCCCAGCTGGCCTCCTTTCACCAGCATCCTCTTTGTTGCTCTAAGGGCCTTTCTAAAATGCAAGTCTGATTATGCCACTCCTTTGCCTAAACCTTTAGTGACTCTCACCTGCTTTCCCCTGTATTCTCAATCCCCTGCCCTTCCACTATAACCTTACCCATCAGCAGTTTCAGGTCTCTACTCTGTCTCCCATCTTGGAAGTCTTCCCTCCATCTGGTGAAGTATAAGCTCCTCCATGAAGCTTTCCAGCCATTCCCCCAAGCAATGTTATGTGCTTCCCCCAGTAGACTATGAGTTCTTCCAGGGACTATATTCAACTGACTCTGGGTTTCCAGCTTGAGGAAATCATAAACCAAGAATACATTGACTACAATCCCTTATTTGCTCATTCATGTGTTTATTCAACAAACATCTATTAGGCACTAGCTACATACCTATCACCATATTAAGCACTGACTAGCAGAGAAGATGGAGGGCCAGAAGTGTTAACTTGCCAGAGGTCCCCACCAAGGACCTCAACTTGTTTTGATGTCTTTGGGTCCCAGAAGGTAATTTCTGATTTTTTTAAATGAAATTAGTCATGACCACTATAAAAATGTGTGAAAGCTTTTCCTTAAAATTATTATTTTGGGTAGGACCCACTGGTTATCTGGAATATTTTCTTGAGGAAATATAAAAGTGAAATTTAATTTTTAACATTTTTATATATGCATAGAATTAAAATGTTTTAGAGCAAGTCTTAAAGGTCTTCTGATTATGCATTTTTCACATTAAATACTCCATGGTTCTTTATCTTAAAAAAAAATTATATATATAT